TTTTCATAATATTGTTAATGCACCGTATAATGAGTGCTGTATTAAAACAAAATGTAATACCTGCTTCAAAAAGTGTTTTTGCTTGGGACATTGTTACTGGCTCCTGTAATACAAGCTAAACCTAATTGTCCCTTCAAACAACAAGGGATTCCCCACACAGAATCTTGCATACCAGAAGGAAAACTTCTCACATGGGGATCTAGTGTAGTTTTTTCTAAGTGGCATTGTAAAATAATTTGGTACCTAACTCAACAATAAAGTATTACAATTTCAAACAACACACTCTAATTCAAATATAATCATATTAGATAGTTGGGTTAAATGAAAAGTAGAGTTTTACATACTTGTGAAATTAGTGATGGCAAAAATGTTTTTTCAATAATATTTGGCACTAATCCTTTTTCAGGAGCATCTGTTTTGGTTGCAGTAGAATTATTTTGCTGCTGATTACCAGAAATTCTTTGCACAACTGAACCAATTGTGCAGTAAGAAAATGGCTGTAAATACGCAAAATATAATCTGACATGAAATCATTTCATATTATAAGTTATTATAAAACATAATATTAACGAATTAAAATAGGAAAGTCGCATAACTCTTGTTCATGTTATATAATAATCATCTCTTTTGTGATGTGGTAGCTGTAACACTTTTATTACATTCGTTTTATTAAACAAGTAACAATAATAGTATTATTTGTACAATTAACTAATGCTGTAAATTTATAATTTTTTCTTACATTCTTATTAAAAATCAAGAGTATAAAGAGATCACCTATATATTAAATAAAATATAAAAATGACACTGAAATAAATTACATGATACTATTGCAGAAATACAAAAATAGTTTGAAAATAAATCAAAATAAGGGTAAAAATAATAAAACTTAAAAACATGATGTGGTAACATAACGTCGACTGCTTGAAATATTTGAACTTGCTATTTCATATTAAAAAGTATAAGATTAATATCTGACCTCAGCAAATGCAGTGAATTTCATGCTAACTGCCAACTTCTGCGTCCCATCAACATATATCGTGACGTTGTTGTGTGCAAACGGCCGCCTGGGTGGTGCCAAGCACACAGTGACGGAATGCCATTTACCATCAGCTAAACCACCAGGACTGCCAATGGAACTGGCGTTTACCGCGGCGGTTAAAATTCGCGTCGTAGTGAAATGGCGGTGACTAGAGAACCGTCGCGCTGCACAAAAACTTCCATGCCGGTACCTTGAGGCGTAATCAAACTGAAAATGAGAAAAATAAACAATTAGATAGATGTAGACGCACCCTCATTGTTAATAATTCATTTTTATATTAAAATGTCATAGACCTCTAATATTTTAGTATGTCATAAAGACCAGGAACTCATTTGCCATACAAGATAACATTAATCGCCAAAAAAATCAAAATCAAGAATAAATATATTAAGTCCTTTATTATGAATTTAGTTTAAATAGTTTTAGTTATTCAACTTAAAACAAGTTAGGTATTTCATATTTGACTTTTTGGTTTTAACGGCCCCCCAGATCTTTCGATTTGCTTAACATAAATTGAAAACTGCAAGATCTTATTTCAACTCATATCAATTATTGTAAAAACATACTTGAATAATTGCCTCCGAAAATTTTGCCCATCCAAGTCTGAAAGAGGATCTAATCGAATCCAACAGTGAAAGCTAAAGCCGTAGGAACATCCTGCCCATTTTCTAATTTCTGGTACCCTTAAACCATCTAAAAATACATAATGTAAATTAATAATGCAAGTACTTAATACAATTATGTAAAAATATTTTTTATCTTAAGATTTTATTATTATTTTAGTCAATTCTCAATATAAAATTGTTATACCTGTTTCTCCCTGCATATCAATATAACTCCTGCAGATCAATTTTTGATTACGAAAAATTGTAGCAACTGCTTGTAAAAGATTCTTATAATATGGCAACTCAAGTTCCGGCCGCAAAAGTAAAAATAGCATTTTTAATTCATGTGTTGTAATTGAATGCAATGCTAAACTTTCTAATAACTTTATTAACTCAATCGCTGCATTTATTGATAGTTTATCTGGATGACCAAGGACTTCACACACAGCAACAATAATCTTGCTTTCAGCTGCTAATTGTTTGCTGAAAATAATAAAATCAAGATATAGATATAATATAATAATAAAAATTGAGAATTCCGTAAAACAAGAAATAAATAAGGTAATAAGATTACCTTAATAAGCCTTCGGTGCATATTTTGCATATCTCCTCTGAAATCCAAGGCTGATCATGTTCATCCATATCAATGATCCAAGTGATTAATCTTATAAGAATGTGTGAATTACAAATTGTGTTATCATTTCCATCTCCGGTTATCATTTTTAGTAACTGGCATAATAAAGATCTTGATGGTGTCCCAAGCTCAGCAACATATGACATAAAAATATCATAATAGTCATTTTTGATAAAAATTTCTCTAGCAGATACACATAGGTGTGTAATTCGAGATAAACTACTTATACATTCTGTGGCTAGTAATTGATGATCTATATCCCAATTCTAAAATCAACAAAAAATAATTTTAAAGCTAGATCTGTTCTTCCATATTAAATTATAATTTCTCAGTAATGTGAAATTAAATATATATACGTATAAATTTACCTTTGTATGTTTCGGCAGTGTTACTAACAAATTCAACAAATTAGCATCTACTAAAGCCTGAGCTATCAGAACATTATTAGCACCATTTGTCATTAACAGTTTTACGGAATTAACAATAGAGCATATGGCAATTGTTTTAACATTATCTTGATTATCCTCAGATATCACTAGATTTTCTTCAGATTGATCAGACAGAAATTTAACAAACGTCGTGTGAAATAAGCTTAGGATCGTAGCTAGTTCTATCTGCCTCTGGTCTGGAGTAGATCTGTGCAGGACCTGCACCATGGCTACGAAACAGCGCAGGGCAATTGTGCGCACTTCACAATCGACGGTTTTTCGTCCTATTACGTCCATAAGAATGCTGACAGTGGCTGGGCAAATGGCACGTTGACCGTTGTGCTTTTTAATTAAAAGAACATATTAAATAAAATATATATATATATATTGAAAAAGCTTTGAATTTATCCAAGTTCTAACACAATTGTTGCAAACTTTACACACATTAAGAAAAGAGTTGTTATAAAAACCTAATAAAAACAATTTGTTAATAAGCTTGAAATATTTTAATTACATGCATCATGATGGAGAAGATTTATTATAAAATCGCTAAGCACAAACGTTTTACTTGCACGATGACTTCAATGTATAAATTCAACAACGAAATATAAGTCAAGGATATTAAACTGAAAATTAAATTCTGGGTTTCTAAGTGAACATAAAACTTAAAGTTTTATAAAGTTTAGAGTAAAAGTTTCATAAAGTTTTTTACATAAAAATATTTGTAAGAAATAGAATTCAGAACAAATATAAGTCAAACTCATTTTGTCGATTAAATAAAATAAAATTTCACAGATCAAAAAAAAAAAATTTGCTATCCTTTTTTAACTACATAATGTTTTTTCTTGAATATATTCTTTGCAAAAGTACTATTAAAATTATTTACTCTTTACTATTAGAAAAAATACATGCAAATGTGTGTTAATCATTTTTTTAATAACAATGACTTGGGTAATTATTTAATTAATTTTAACCCAAACAAGCTTTATCAATGCCATGCAAAAATATTTTAATGACCAATTTTTAGTAACAGTTAACTCACCCCTTCACTAAGTCTACGAGCCATACCATCAGAATTCCAATTGTCAATAGGTTTATAATTCAAAATCATCTTCTGAAAAATTATAATTTTTCTAATACTTAAAATCTAATCAATCATTACTGTACACAATATATATCAACTACTGAAACGTAATGAAAATTTTTCTCATAGCAAATGAAACAATGATCAATTGAATTTCAAAACAAAAATATTCAAAATATATGTTAAATAGCATATTCTTCATTCATATTGAAGCTTTGTTAAATTATTTTAATAATATGTAACTAGCTACTATATCAATTAATAGATTATTCACCTTTACCCATGCCTTTAGTTATTTGATTTAATTCAAACATATAACCAATACCATTTTTAATTAATTTAAATGTACTACTGCAAACATATATTAAAAATTAAAATCAAAATTAACAGTGACACATTATAATAATAAATATGTAACTAAACAGGACGTCACAAATTTTGAAAAGACCTCAAATATAAATATTAGTTTTGTGAATGTGTCTTATGTTTAATATATTCGTGTAAATGAGAAAATATGTAGCTAATTAATTAAACCGTAACAGTAATATATTTAATGGTTTGTTGCATTATCTATCATTATCCTAAAGTAGATGTAAAATAATTGAAATTTAAATGAAGTTCATTGATGCTGTTTTGCATCAATGCAAGCACAAATTTGTTAGCAAGAATCTGTATCTCAAAATTAATAAAATTTCATCTAAATAATTGTATAAATTTTACTTAATCACATTAATATAGAAATCTAACGTGAACTCTATCTGAAAAGCAAGAAGCAATACTTATCTATTAATGTCCGAGAGTTATACCAAGGCATAGCTACCGAAATATAGCCTAGTCTAATATAATTTTTATATCACTTTTAATGTAGAGTATGCAAGAGTGTATGTGCATTGGTATAGATTATAATAATAAAGATTATTCCAAATTCTCTTTCTACAGACTATTTGAAAAAACAATTTTGCCAACATTTAGTTCGAAAATTACTTACTTGGGCACCAAATATCACCGCACCTAATACATGTAAAAGAGCTGTACTTATTTCCGGATAAGAAAACATTAACGAGGATTGAAAACAATCTGAAATTGGAAAATATTATCAATATATATATTGATGTTATTTATTATCAACTAAATATAATTTACCATAGATAAATGGAATGACTTCTACATGAAGCAAAGCTGGTTGGTGTTGCAGTCTTGCAAAATCAGCATTATTATTTAATAAAAAATTTCTCCAAGTGAAATATGGATCGTACAGTACTTCTAACATCAGTGCTAAGGAACGGAGAAATGAATCGGCATTTTCAATTGGGTTTTTTAGCAACTGGAAAGAATAATACATAAGGTTTCTGAATATACATTTTTTAGTTGCGATTCCAGCAATATCCTATATTTACCTTGTGCACAACAATACTGGCAATTGATATACATTGACTGATATATTCACAAGAGGATATGAGGGGGATATTATCAAAATTTCTGCATATTATTGTCAAACATTTAATCAGCACTTCTGCTTCATTGAGGAATCTTGGTGTAATAATATCCTAACGAAAAAAGATTAAAAATATATTACTTCTTTCTTTAAAATTCAATTACACAAAGAAAATCTCACATATTAATAGCTATCATATTTATATGATATATGGGTATGAATAAGTAATATTAATTAATGGTTTTAGTATTTAGTAATATTAATTAATGATCATAGTATAAATGTATGTGATATTATACAGTGAATAAAAACTGTTATATGATTGCTTTTAAAACTATTGCAAAGCAAAATTGATCTTTACTTTAATGTTACAAATGCAAGTAGATAAGTAATAATTGAAAATGCCTTAAGAATGAAAGCCTTTGCTTTTACCTTGGAAGCAATAAAAATAAAAAGTAATTTAATATCAAGTATTTTATAATATACAAATGGTATACAAATAAGCAAACATAAAGTAGAAATCATCGCTAAAGTGCAAACAATTAAATGTAACATTTGCAAAAGGATTTTAATATATATCTGAATTTAATAAACCTTCTCAGCTGTATCTTTAGCTATGTATAAAAATTTGCCAATAGCTGGTAACAGTTCATCTGGCAGTCTTGTCAAATGGGGCCCTGAATCACTTTTAGTCTCGGTTAGACTAGGGGGTTTATTTACATCGAGACATAATTGGGACTCCCATATTCCCACAAATCCTGCTACGAATTGTCTAAAATATATTTCTTCATTCTGAAAAGCAATGAAGAGAAATAAAGAATCAATTGGATAGAAACTAGATATTGCCTAATATTTCAAATACCTTTGTTGTGTATTGGATCCAGAGATTGTAAATATCTTTTCTGGATTCCATTATGAATAGATTATCGTTCTGTCGTTGCTAAAATTGAATTCAATCATGTTTAAATGTAATGTTTAATAAAAATATTATTTCATGTTAACATTCTACACCGATATCAACTGACAGATGACACATCGGCCACCATATTGCGCTAATGTTACTACCTCGTGGTATCTGCTTGTCAAAGAGAAATCAGGTGTTAAACAAAATATAAAACTGGAGGGAAATTTGAATTTACATTCTTTGCGGAAGACGGTTATGCTTTCCTTCTAGTTGACCAAATCTTCAACACTGATAATTTTAATTAATTTATAATTTGAAATATATTTGAAAACTTCAAATTCAAATATGGAATCATTACCCAAAACATGATCAAACTGCAGCTGCTGTTAAAGTGAAATATTTACACATTTTTCCGTATCTTGATTTAAATGATTATTTTATTTTGTTTATTATGTATATTATCATTTCATTCCGTGTTATTCATTTAAATTTCTTACACATTGCACAAAACACATGTAACCCTACCTACCGATTTCGAATCAGGTTTCAGCACATGTATAAATATAACTGATATTTGCATACATGATATATTATATAATACTTTATTTTATTATTAAACCAGTTAAATGTTATGAAATTATATATATATATATATATATATATATCAGATTTCTGATAGTTATCTTATTGGGTATCATGTATGATATACTCACCTGTGCATTTAGTTCGAAATAGTTATTTCAAACATTTGATCCGAATAGTGCTGGTATATAAAATATAACAAAAGTATACCATTTTGAAAATAATATTTGATATTCTTTCACAATGAGGAGTGTCGGAAAAATAGAATTCAAAACAAGCAAACAAAAAATATTTTTATATAAAGCAAAAATCATGGCAGCTCATTTATAATTTTTTTCCTCAGTTTACTTAAACCGCCACAAAATTCACAAGTCTTTGGAAGTAATTACCTTTATAATTAATAGTCATAATTTTAGTATTGTCCTTACTGCTCCAAATATAATAAGAGATTGAGAATATATTCCAATATAGTAGACCGACTATCCAAATGCACCCGAAATTACAATATTTCTCGTATAAAATATAAACAAATAACATTGATAGTTCATTTTCAATATTATATGAAAACACATTCAACTATCATGCATTTATTTCTTAACATAAGATTACTTAATTATAAAAAAACATAAAAAAGAAAAAGAGTTGAATGATTCATAGTGTATCGCGGTTATGTTATGAAAATATTATAACACTGGTGTGATTCATGCTATCAAGTTTTTTTTAATTTGTTTTTTATCTAATCTTAATTTCACTCGAGAGTAATTAAGTTATTTTGTTCTCATATTTCTCATAAGATTAAATTTTTTATATTATACAAATATAAATTATAATTATTATAACACTACTATGATTCATCGTTCCATTCATTCCATTTGTTTCTTATCTCTGATATTAATTTCTACAAACAATCAAACTGAGAACTTTATTATTATATTTTAAAAAATATGATTTCAACAATAAACAGTCGAATAAAAGCAGATTTGAGAACCAAATAAAGCAGGTGTAAGTGGTATTTTGTCTCATCAGCCCGGCTGATGTTTATGAGAAACTGACAACATCATTCCCAACAAAATATCTTTTGAAAAGTTTTTAAATTGTGCTAGGTTTTTGAGCAGAAACGTGAACAAATTTTTTTGTACTTGTGTGCTAAGTGTGAAGAAACGGTTCGGCAAATCGCACCGTAAATGTAATCCTTATAGAGTTTCATCAAATGTCATACCATTTTTTTTTTTACCGATTTTGGTTTCAAACAATTTATACAAGGCATTACTTTAAATCTCAAGAAAATATAAAATTGTCAAATCTGATTTTTTGGCACACGACGTTCCGGCCCGTTCCGGTTCGACAACACCACTGATTATATATAATACATCTTTATCTATGATATATCTTATATTTTTCAATTCATATATTTTCTTCGCTTTTGAGCCTTGTATAAAATTATTTTCATCAAAAAAATTACACTCAATCGTTTATTTTCATAACTTTTATAAATTCACTTATGAATTTACGAAAAAATTGGTTTTTGAAAAATCCCGGGACACAAGGTGGAAATCCGGGACAGTTCCGGCCCAACCGGGACGACCATGATCTCCTTACCATTGCAGCAAATGGCTCCAATCATAGATAAATAAGCATAATAAAATGGCTCCAATCCTCTAACCCTTCAGTACATACAAATCTGTATTTTTTTCCCAATTTCTGGCAATAGTTACAGATATTGAATCCTTCCATTTCACACCTGATATTTTTTATATATTATATATTTTCCTAAACACATAAATCAAAATAGTTTTAATAAAACATCCTCGTAAGCTTGTACAACAATATATTTTAATTTGCATGTTAGCAATGAAAAAGCAAAGACTTAAAAATGAAAATAAAATACAAAAAACTGTACAATTTATCAGATTATTATAATTATACGTAACATACGCCAAAATGTATAAAAAGTTTTACGAATAGAGTAATTAAATGCCACCAATTCAGGGGCGTAGCCTATTTAGAAGAGCTACGCCACTGGATATACTGTTATGCATTATTTTAAAAAATGGCAAAGTTAAATTTGTATTTGGAAGGAATATTCCTTGGACAATTTTGCATACTAAATGTAATTTCTAATAATTTTTCAAACTTGCTAAGAATGCGCTAGAATGCAATATAACAAATAACTTATTTTGAAACTAATATTCGAAAAGTATGAAAATTATATTAATATATTTTCTCTTTTTTAATTATATTTTTAATAACATATCATACTATGTAAATCAATCTACATTCTACAATCTTAGACTAAAAGGCTTATACTTTCAATAATTGTGTCATTTTGGTATATAGTTAATTTAGATATATTTTGCAATAAAGTTTTTCAACATTAAAACTATCATGATTTTTACGTGATATTTATGTCAATCTGAATTTTTTTGTATTATTATTTGTGTTACGCAAAAATAATCTTATAATATGCGAAGGCAAAGACATGATATAGGTATTTTATAGTCACTACTATAAGCCACTATATGCTAATTATTTGAATTTATGAAATGAGTAAAAATTTCAACATCAATATGAAGCAACTAATTTGTATTTGATCGTGGGCACAAAAAGTGTATGTATTTTTTGCATTTTATTGTAGATCACAGACAATTTATCTATAGAATCTAAATAGGTAACTATATTTTACTGTTAATATAAGTATAATAGTTAATTAATATAACTATATTAATTAGATATGGAACAGCGGTGTAATAACATAAATTAAATATATGATTATTTATGATCATATGTATTTAGATCGATCATCATGTATTTATTGACTTATCAGAAAAATTCTTACCTTACATTTTGTCAATCAATATACCAATTACATTTTTGTAATCGTAATCAAATTATATTTATTGGAACCAAAATTTCGCCTAATAAATTAATTAATTAATTAAAAATAACATTCTTCACATTATCAGATTCAAATCAATGTATAAAGTTTGATAATTGCTTAATGATGCGTTTTCCATTTTTTAGAGTAAATTATCATAAATCATCTTTAGTGTAAACTATCATAAAATTTAAAACTTAATTAATTTCTGTACAGATTCAATTTCATAAACTATCATCTATTATAGAATAAACTTGAGCAATAAATTGTAACATATAGTTTATCGAAATGTATCTTGATAAAATTTGCGATTATCAACATACAAATTTGCAGACATTGTGAAATATGATTAAAATTATGGTTTTATACATTTGATTTAAAATATAAATGTTTTTATGAAATATGTATGAGCACCGATAGTGAAGCTATGATATAGTGATTTATTTTAATGCAAAAAATGTTCAAATGCTTATGATTTATGAATTTTTTGTGCCAAATATTGAAAACATTGTTTTTTACTCTTCATACAGAATTAAAATAGATTTAAAATTTATGGAAAATATCCCATAAAATATACCATAACATTCTGTTGTCATGGCAACACTGTTACGATCCTTACTTCTTATATATTGGTCGCTCAATTCAGGCGCTCAATTCAAATAAATAAATTGTCAATATTTTTTTTGAGATTGAGGTTCTATGAATCTTGCACATTAATTCCTTGTAGTCACATTTTTTGGTTTTGCTGAAGATGAAGCTTTATATTACTGTGAGCTTACGAGCTTACAATTATTCAGAGGTATCGTTTTATTTAAAATGTATTTAAATGTGATGTATTTTTAATCAAAAATGTTAACCTAACATAAACTATCAGGACATTAAAATTAACTCTGTAAGCTAAGTTTTGCTCTAACGATTAGAGCTCATTTACTTTCTGGTTTAAATCTGTTCCTGAAAACCTTTTTTTGACGTCATGACCTGTATGAAGAGTTTACAAATAAATGGCACATAAAAATGCAATGATCTCAATGTAGATAATATTAGATTCTTAAAGTTCTACTTCACCATAAATATAATTCTTTGAGACATCCAGATTTTATTTAAAAAATGGAGGGCGACATTCTGCATAACAGAATACCTTACTTCACAGACCGTTGCGAAAGCCTAATATTAATTATTTAGTTAAATTTCAATAATTATCATAATTATTCATTTAGAATAATACGTGCTAGCAAGAAAGCTATAAGTTTCATTATTTACATTAACAATAATATTAGATTCGATTCTCTCTATATCATTCGTTTACTCAATTAGATATAAATTTAGTTTAAACATCTAGATATTTTTATTATAAAATCACTCTTCATCGTTTATAGAATATAATTTTATTTTGCAATTCGTATTAATTACAGACTAATGAATTGTATTGCAAGAAATAGATATATGATAGAATCTACTCGTTTTATATTTACTATATCTAATATTTTCCGATTTATTTTTGTATCGTTTTTTTATAACTAATGTGACTAATCAAGCTCAGAGGCAATAAATATAACTTTTTCATTTATATTACAGACAAAGATTAAAAAAAACATGACCATATTAGAAATAATCTACTTTTATTATTTTAGAAGAGACATTAGACTAATAATTTATCCATTTTGCTACCAGGGTGT